GGAAAAGCCATGGCTTTGGGGTATATTTTTGGCTGTTACATGCTGTGCTGTGTGGTCTTACCACTATCAAGCCACTTCCTCTTGCACAAAGAGGGTGTTTTGGTGTCATTGTCTGGAGATTCTTTCCAGCTCAGATACCAAAGTATCCAGATCCCCTCCATCCTGCTGCCCCCAGGTCGCCCAGAGTAATTTTGAGGCTCTTCAAGACTTCTTCCGCCTCTTCCCGGAGTACAAGGGCAATGAGCTTTTCCTGACGGGAGAGAGCTATGCCGGCATCTACATCCCCACCCTGGCTGTGTTGGTCATGCAGGACCCCAGCATGAACCTTCAGGTGCAGGACGGCTGCAGGGGGGAAGGGAGGCAGCTTGCGGTCATAGCTTTGTGGTCAGGGAGGTAAAACAGATCAACTTCCCCATCCAACCCAAACTCCTTCATGACATCCACAAGCTGGCTTCTCTCTGCTCCTGTGCCACCCATGAGAGGAAACTCACCTGTCAGGCTGCCAATTCTCTCTGCTTTCTGACCTCCTCCACCCACACACCCCCACAAACCACCCCGGGTTTCAGTTTCCCTATTGCTGAAAGTCTGGGTGTAGGTTAAGGGAGGTTCCTTCTCCCCACCCTCCCACTGAGCTGGATGCCCTGGCTGTTTCACAGGGGCTGGCCGTGGGCAATGGACTCTCCTCCTATGAGCAGAACGACAACTCTCTTGTCTATTTCGCCTACTACCATGGCCTTCTGGGGAACAGGTATGGGAGAGGGCAAGTGGGCAATCTTCAGGGTGGGACAGGTCACTAGATATCAAATCTATACTCTAGGCACGTAATATCCTGAGCCCTACCCTGGTCTATGAGCAGAAGTTGGGGCTGGGGTTGCTAGACGGGTTTGATGTTAAAAGGCCAAAGACTAGAAATTAGAATTTAAAGGGCAAAGGAGGCATGGCAGGATGGCCCAGTGGCAGCTAGGTTGGGGGCCTACATACCACACCCTGTGATTTATTCCTCCCCTGGGCTCAGGTTGTGACGGAGGTTGGAAGGAGAAGGTGGGGTTCGGGTCTCGCCTTGTCTGCCCACCGTGAGTCTCTAAGCGCTTTCATCTGATCTGCTACAGGCTCTGGTCTTCCCTCCAGACCCACTGCTGCTCTCAAAACAAGTGTAACTTCTACGACAACAAAGACCCAGAATGTGTGAACAGTGTAAGGTTCTGCCCCCACTGGTGTCACCCCTGGGACCCCCAGTTGTGAAACTCCCTGCCCCCACCCCCTACTGTTGTCCTATCCCGCATCCCTCAGTAGTTTGGTGTTCTCTGGGACACGTGAATGAGGATGCTATCCCACCACTGCTCACGTGACTTTCTGGGCCAGTCCTGTAACCCCTGGGAGGGGAAAGGCGTTCTCTTATCGACCCTCTGCCCCGGGCCAGGACTGCTGAACTGTGTCCGTGTATCATCTAATCTTCCAGTTTTCCTTCAAGGGAGATCATAGTATCCATATTTTCCAGATGAGGAAACTGAGGCTAAGAATGTTGAAGTCACAGTGCTAGGAAATAGAAGCACTAGGATTTGGATCTAGGTCTGGCAGATTCCTTCCACTGAGCCTCAGTTTCCCTTCACGTGAAAAAAATAGGCGGCCCTGGCCAGTTTGGCTCAGAGGTTAGAGTGTTGGCCCGTACACCAAAGAGTCGTGGGTTCAATTCCAATCAAGGGCATGTACCTCAGTTGTGGTTCATCCCCAGCCCTGGTTGGGGTCGTGCAGGTGGCAACCAGTTGATGTGTCTCTCTCACATCGATGTTTCTCTCTCCCTCTCCCTCTCTCCCACTCTATCTGAAGATAAATAGAAAAATGTCCTCGGATAAGGATTAGAAAGAGAAAACTAGGGGAAGGACTTGCCCTAATGACAAGATGAAGCAGGAAAGCGCTAAATCTTGGGACAAGTTGGTGATGTCATAGGGAGGCCAGTGTTTTGTAAAGCATGGTGGCTCGGTGTATCATTGCAGCTCCAGGAAGTGTCCCGTATCGTGGGCAACTCTGGCCTCAACATCTACAACCTCTATGCCCCTTGTGCTGGGGGGGTACCAGGCCATGTAAGGTAGGTGCTGCTGGGTGCCCATTGAGCCAACCACAGCCCCACCTGGAGGCTCAAGCACCCATCCCCCCACTTCATGCAGGTATGAGAAGGATACTATCACGGTCCAGGATTTGGGCAACATCTTCACTCGGCTGCCAATCAAGCGGGCGTGGCATCAGGTGTGCAAGGGCCTGGGCTTCCTCCCCGGTGGGGAGGGGCGGGGCAGGGAAGCAAAGACCCTGACTGTCTGTGCCCCTCAGGCACTGCTGCGTTCTGGGGATAAGGTGCACATGGACCCCCCCTGCACCAACACCACAGCCACCTCCACCTACCTCAACAACCCTTTTGTGCGGAAGGCCCTCCACATCCCCGAGCAGCTGCCCGGCTGGGACATGTGCAAGTGAGCTTCCGTGGCCGCTTGTGGCCGGGGGTTGGCAGGCTGTGGGCATCAGAAAAGTTCCCAGGGATCTTTTGGCACTTGGGCCACAGTGAGTTTTTTACAGCATGGGTGGGGAAACTTTTTCTGCCAAGGGCCATTTGGATATTCATAACTTCATTCGAGGGCCATTCAAAATGGCCAACTTAAACATTAGCCAGCTGTATTTGGTCAGGCTCACCTGCTGAGGCGTGTGATGTGAGCTGGTATTGATTTCACAGGCTTTATATGGCCCGTGGACCATTAGAGGATGTTTAACCTCTGTTTTTTGGCCAGATCATTCTTAAGTGGCCATATGGTTATTAAAATATCTGTTAATTCCATGGCATTTAGTAAATACACACGCTCCCAGTTCCCCTCTCTCACCCCCATTCCAATGCCATTCCTAGGGGCTCAGCTCTCCTTTGACCCCCTGCAAGTAAAAAGGTGACAACCGGCCCAGCAGGGGCCACTCAGGTCCTTTTTGGAATGGTCTGTGCCCATGCCCTACTGTTGTCACATGCTGTGGTTCTCACCCCCAAGAGCCAGTATGCTCTAAACTACCGCTGCATCCCAGTCATTGGAACAACCAGTGTCCTTATGCATTTCTAAATGGGAGTGGGCCGAGCACCTCCGAATCCCAGCGCCCCCTCCCCAATCCAAGTCAGTCCAGAGAGGTGGCATGCCCAAGAAGGGGACTGTGTCCCAGCTGTCTGCCTCCTAGCCTGGAGCTTGGGGATAGGAGAGGAGGTCTGACCTGTTGACTTTTCTTCTCCCCCGCCCTGGCCTTCCCGCGGCCTGCGCACGCGCTCCTGCAGCTTCCTTGTGAATATACAGTACCGCCGCCTCTACCAAAGCATGCACTCCCAGTACCTTAAGCTGCTCGCCCCGCAGGTGAGTTGGGGCAGCACAGCAGGGTCCACCAGCAGCCCCGGGACCCTGGAGCAGTGTGGCTAGGCAGGGGGGACAGGGGAAGCTGAAACTCCAAGGGATGAAGTCACTTGCCTGAGGTCCTGTAGTTGGGAGGGTTGGGATTTGAACCTAGCTTTGGCCCAACCCCATGCTGCTCTGCCGTAGGAGGTTGAGGGGTCTGCATTAGCTAAGGAGACTTCGAGGAGCTAGTCAGATTGTGTTACAAGTAAGCAAATGGAGGTCTGGGTTCAGGGAGGGTCTTGTCCAAGGTCACCTAGGAGACACTAGCAGAGCCAGGTTAGGACCAGGTCTATAGCACAGTGGTTAGAGCATGGGCTCTGGGTCAGATTGCCTGGGTGCAAGTTTCTCTACTAACCATGCGACCCTGTGCAAGTTCCTCACATATCTTGACTTGGTTTCCCTGTCTGTAAAATGGGATTAATAAGAGTATCTATCTTCGTAGGTAAAGCATTTATAGAGCACTGGACACATAGCAAAGCAGTCAGAAAACAAGCATTGCCTGGTCCATGCTGTTTAGCTGGGCCTCTTGAATTCCCTTCGGGGTTGGGCTTGAACCTGGTAAGCACTGAGGCCTGGGCTTGTTCTAGACCTCCCACTTTCCCCTGCTCTGCTCCAGAAATACCGGATCCTGCTCTACAATGGCGACGTGGACATGGCCTGCAATTTCCTGGGGGATGAGTGGTTTGTGGATTCCCTCAACCAGAAGGTGAGGCAGGGACCATGGCTCCAGGGTGAGGCTAGTGCTTGGGTAGGTTGAGCATGCCTGGCAGACAGGGCAAACCGGGAGGGCTTCCCAGCCCCCGAGGCCTCGAGGCTCGGTGTCTGTGAGCAGGGACGATGGGGGCTGCAGGCTGCTGAGTCTTTGCTGGTGGGGCAGGTGGAAGTACAGCGCCGGCCCTGGTTAGTGAACTACGGGGACAGTGGGGAGCAGATCGCTGGCTTCGTGAAGGAGTTCTCCCACATCGCCTTTCTTACCATCAAGGTAGGGCCAGGGGCACGGGCAGACCCACTGTCCTTCCGTTTCCTTTTGTGCTGGGTCACCACGTGGCCCCTGTAAGGGCGAGTTTGCAGCAGGCCAGGGAGTGCGGGGAATGGTGGGGTGGAAGAATGGGAGGTTTGGGGCAGGGTTGTGGGAGGAGGAAGGTCATTGGCTGGGGGATCCATGGGATGAAGGAAGCCCCAGGGGCAGGGACGCTACAGGAAGGGACTCTCACAGAGCTTTGTTCCTCAGGGCGCTGGACACATGGTCCCCACCGACAAGCCCCAGGCTGCCCTCACCATGTTCTCCCGCTTCCTGAATAAACAGCCATACTGATGACCACAGGGGCGAGCCCCTACTGCCTGGCCAGCCCCTCCCAGCCTCTCCTGCTAAAGGGAGGTCCTCCTCAAGCAGAAGTGGAGGAGTTAGCACTTTACGCCTGACTGGGGGAGGGCCAGGCCCCCTCCCTGCTTAATGAATGCCCTTAATGCACTGATACCACCCCAGGAACACAATCGAGCTCAGGACAGCCCACTGGGAGGCTGGACGGATTGTAATTGATGGACTGAGTGTGATTATGGAATTAAATTGGGTACAGCTTAAACCTGGTCTTCTCTGTGGCACTGGGGTTAGAGAGGACACTAAGCTGTGAGGGTGCAGGAGGGGACGAGAGGGCTGGAGGCCCGAATGCAGCCGCCAGGGCGGGGGTGGCTCAGGCAGCTGCTGTGGAGGGTGGTGGGGCACTGGCTGCCTGGGAGGCCACAGTGTCCATGCAGCCGCCAGGGTGGAGGTGGCTCAGGCAGCTGCTGTGGAGGGTGGTGGGGCACTGGCTGCCTGGGAGGCCACAGGGTCCGCAGGTCGGTTCTTCTCAGGCCGTTTCTCGATCATCTCTCGCAGCCCTTTGACGAAGTGGAGGTCAGCGCCGATGGTGAGGAAACCCTGTGCAGTGGGGCGGGGAAGGGCATCTGTTCATCCCCTGACTGAGGCCAGAGTTGAGAGAGAGAGAGAGAGAGCCCTTGGCCTTGAGGGGGTTCTCAATCTAGTGGGATAGATGGGACAGCCAAAAAGTTCTTATAACTAGCTGTGAAGGGTACTGAAATAGAGGCTCAGGCGTACAGCCTCGGAGCTCAAGGAGGGCTTCCTAGAGGAGGTGACCAGAAAGATTAATAAGCACTGGGGGTGGAATCAGGGAAGAGTGTTCCAACGTGAGGGCACAGCCTGTGCACAGGAGTCTGGTGTAAGATTGAAGTGGGAGGGGCAATGGATGAGGGAGCAGCTGGTGTCGGGGTTGGCCTGCACTCCCAACCTGCAGAGGGGGAGGAAGGCACTGCCCTTCCCCACGCGCCCCACTCACCGCGTGGTTCGTCACCACCTCTCGCAGGAAGTCCATCCCCTCAGGTAGTGGGATCTGCACCCCACGCCGGGTGCGCTCTGTGGGAGGGGACAGCTGGCTCAGTCTGGGCCCACCCGGATCCCTCTCCTTCCCCCCTCCCACCTCATAACCCTTATCCTACCATTGATCAGGGGCATCACCCCCAACTGCAGCATGGTCTTCAGGGGCGCCTGCAGTGGGATCAGCTGGGAGGGAGGTGGGGTGGAGTTAGGGCTCAAGGAGCGGCTGGGCTTGCTTAGCAGCTCACCCTGACTCCAGCCTCAGCCCACCCACCGCTCCCAACTCACTGCCAGCGACTCCAGTGCAGACTGGTTGGAGTAGATTCGGAACCTGTGGAAGAGAGATGCCTGGTGGGCAGGCAGGAAGCTCCCTTCCAGCAGACCACCCAGGCCTAGCCACCAGAAGCCTGAGTTTCGGTCTTAGATGTCCCACTTAGACACCTTTCCAGGGGTCTACCACTGTCCAGGTGTGTATTGGTGAGCCGTTTCTCCCTGTAGGTCTCCTTTTCTCCACATGAGCTACTTCTTGCTTGTCGAACACCCTACATGCCAGTGTTCTCCTACATGCCAGTAGCTTTGCACATGTTGCTTATTTTTATTTAACAAAATATATAGTGTTTACTCCCCACCAGACACTAAACATGTTTAAAAAGTCAAAGCCCTGGCTGGGTAGCTCAGTTGGTTCGAGTGTTGTCCCGATACACCAAGGATGTGGGTTCAGTCCCTGGTCGGCACATACAAGCAACCAGTGAATGCATAAAATAAGTGGAACAAATTGATGTTTCTCTCTCACTTTCTCCCTTCCTCTCTCTCAACTCAGTCCATCAGTAAGTTATTTTTTTTAAAAAGAAGCCAAATGTTATTAAAATGTTTTCACATGCCAACTGACTGAATCTTCATAACCGGAAGAAGTAGGTACTGTTACGATCTGCACCTTGTAGATGAGGCCAACGGGGCCTTGAGAAGTTAAGTAACTTGCCTAAGGTCACACAGCTAGAAAAGAGCAGAACCTGCCTCCAGAATCCCGGCTTTTAACTACTATCTTGTATTCACTCATTTAACTTCTTAGAACAGCGTGTCCGATAGAAGGTTCTGTATGCTGTTCTGTATCTGCACTGTCCACACAGTAGCCACTAGCTACATGTGGCTGTAGAAACATGGTTAATGCAACTGAGTAACTATTTAATTAGAATTAAATAGCCACATGTGGCTAGCATCTGTCATAGTGGGCAGCACAGCCCTAGAAGGCAGATGCTATTTTTATCTGTATTTAACACAGGAAGAAAGTGAAGCTTAGGGAGAGAAAATGCCTTGAATTAAGATTACAAGGGTGGCCCTTGCCGGATAGTTCAGATGGTTATAGTGTCGTCTTGATATGCCAAGATTTCGGGTTTGGTCCCCAGTCAGGGCACATACAAGAAGCAACCAATGAATGCATAAATAAGTGGAACAAATCAATGTTTCTCTCTCCCCCTTCCTCTCTCTAAAATCTATCGATAAAGTTATTTAAAAATAAAAAGATTACAAAGCTAAGTTGTGCTGGTTTCCTGCCAACACTGTGCTCTTATTTAGGCTCTGTTGTGTGACTGTGGGCATGTCACTCAGCCTTACTGGGCGTTTGGTCATCTCATAGTACCTGCTCTGCCTGCCTCCAAGTCATGAGACAATGCAGGCAAGATACTTTAATGAAGCACTTTCTATGTATTGACAAGGACCACAAGCTCTCCAGTGGCTTATTGGTATGACTGGATTTTAGCTCCCCAGTTCTGTTAGGCAGGTGTGATTATCCCGAAAACATGAGCTTGGAGAGGTGACGCGCTTGCCCGAGATTTCCGACAGCTGCATACTTGCGCAGGTCCAGGTGTACGCGCAGCGCCTTCTCCCGGAGGGCCATCTTGGCACTGAGACGGGCGTCCTGCGGGAACGTGGGGAAGGGCGCTGTGTTACTGACCAGGCAGGTGCCCAGCCCACTTCTCTCTAACCCTTGGCAGCCCTCACTCTGGTTCCCGCACCATGATTATGCTGGACAGCTGGACCTCGGGCTTGTTGGGTGGAACCACGGCGATGGTGACACTGGCAGTGACAGAGATGGTGGTGCCTGAGGGCTTGATGGTACAACGTGGTGGTGCCATGACCCGCAGCTCCAGCTTCAGCGGGGAGTCGATCATTGCTGGGGTCTGGGGATAGAGCAGGGAAGACGGTCAAATCCCAGATCTGTTCCAGGTGAGCCTCTGGAGGAGGGGGTGGCTCAGGCTCCGCCCTCGGGGAGCCCAGGGTGACGAATGAGATGATGTGGCTTCCCAAACCCTCCAGAATCGTGTCCAGCCTCTGCCTTTGATCACACAAAGAAATGTCTTGTTCTAAGAATGTCTCCTTCCTTGTCTTTCTGCTTTCCTGAGTTCTCAGTATTCATGATCCATCTCCCATTCGGACTCCCTGGAGACAGTCTCTTTGTGTGACGTGACCCAGCCTGCTGCCGTATCTCCTTTCTCTAAACTGCTAGTTCTAGGGGCGGTGTAGGAATACTAGTAGATTCCCACACTAACCAAGTGCTTACTCTTAACCAAACTTCATTTCAACCTCACAATAAGCATGTGAGGCAGGTATTCTGTACTGAGATGGGGAAATTGAGGCACAGAGAGGTTAAGTAACTTGTCCAAGGTTATGCAGTCACTCAGTTGCAGAACTGGGATCAGACCCAGGCAGTCTGGCAAGAGAGTCCGTGACCTTAGCCATATTTGGCCACAAGTCTGACGACGGTGGTGATAACAATAACAACAGTAGCTAGTGTCCTTGAGCACTTTCTCCGTCCCGGGTACTGTTGTGCTTGCATGTGTGTACTCATGTAACCCTCATGACGACCCTATGAGGTACAGTGTAGTGGAGCATGCCAGTGTGACCTGGAGCCACAGAGTCATCATCCAGGTTCAGATCCCAGCTCCAGCATTTACAAAACGGAACCAAGGACACTGAAATATTTCTTGTTACACTTTAAACTCCCACCCCTCTCTCCATTAAACAAAGGAAAATAAGCAAAAAGAGTAACATATCAGTCATTAAAGCCCCTGCACTTACTTGTACTTAGGTTCTCAGCCCGTCCTTGTCACGGCTTCACGAAGGACAGATGGAGCAGCAACTAGCTAGCCCCCTTCACAGACCTAGCCACTCAGCCAGGTGAGGGGACTTGGCCAGAGGCCAGGTTTTCTGTCTATGCCACGACTGCCACTTGGCCTACACCTGCAGGTACTATGGCCACGTCCCTACCTCCCACCAATACTCACCAGCAGGACGATGCTCCCAAAGAAGGAGGCCCTCAGCAGCATGTCCAGGTCTTTGGGTACCTGGCCAGGGGAAGTGGGGGTGAGGCGGGGTCATCAGGAGCTCCATCACAAGCCCCCTCTTGCCCACCCCACGGACAGGCCTGGCATACCTTGTCCCCCACCAGCGAGAGCTGCAGGGCCCCAGCCTGGAAGTAGCTCTCCATGGCCGAGTCAAAGAAAAACTCGGAGAAGGCCACATACACCATCCGCTCCTCCTCCTGCAGCTGGGGCTCCACGGCCCGGTTAGGCAGGCTCCAGTTCCCCTGGGCCAGGGGGAAGAAGGCGCCCTGGAGTAGGGGGATCAGGGTCAGAGCCCAGGCAGACTGGCCCAGCAAGGAATGTCTCCAGGCCCAGTGCTAGGCACTGTGAGGGGTGGTGGGGAGGCGGACCCGGCTGCTGCCTTTGGGAGACCTGTAAGCACATTTCTCAAAAGGCATCAGGAGGGCAGCTGGGGTTTTGGGGTTTTGCAGGGAGCAATGCTATCAGACCTGAGAAGGGAGGCCCAGGAAGGGGTCTGGGTTCAAGGACGAGGTGGCATTTGAGTGGGCCTTGAAAACTAGGTGACGGTAAAGATACTAGCTACTGCTTACATATAGGTAGGAATTCTTCCATGACATTGATGTGAAAGAGAAACGTCAATCGGCTGCCTCCTGCACACCCCATACTGGGGATCGAGCCTGCAACTGAGGCATGTGCCCTGACTGGGACCTCTCAGTCCATGGGAGGACGATCAATCCACTGAGCCACACAGGCCGGGCTCTTCCACGCTTTTTACATAGACCAACTCCTTTAATCCTCAGGTATGTTTTCTTACTGTGTTATTACCACTCATATGTCAGGAAACAGGCAGAGAAAGGTAAAGCCACTTGCTTAAGGTCACACAGCTAGTAAGTGGCAGAGATAGGATCTGAACTTCAGGCATTCTAGCTCTAGAGTCTGTGCTCTGAAACTCTGCTATACTCCACTAGGAGGAGCAAAGGTGCCTTGGGCAAATGATGTCACCTCTCTGAGGCAGTCTAGGTATTCCTAAAATGAATACCCGAGTCACAGGGTTATGAGAGGAGATATATGCACAGAGCTCCTTCAGAGAAGATGGGGAAAGGCAGTGCATGAGCAAAGGCCCTGAGGTAGGAAGTGAGGGGCACATCTGAGAAAGAGTAGCTGCAGAGGAACAGCATCAAGTTAGAAAGGTGGGGCCAGACAAGAGCTAACAATGCCACACCCAGGAAACGGACCCAATTCTGTGGGCAGCCGGGGGTCATGGCCCTCCCAGCAACGGAGTGGCCTCATCAGAGCTGTGCTTTAGAAGATACAAGCAGTGACTTTGGGGAGAGGGAGGGAATCTGGTGACAGATGCACCAGCTGGGCAGCTCACCCGGAAGTCCATGTCCAGAGAGCTGGTGGAGACCACAGGATCCTTTAGGAGGGAGTAGTCAATGCCAACGAGATTGTCCACAGAACTGCGTACTGTGGGGAGGGGCTTGAGTCACTCCAAGCTACGGGAGGCTGGGCGAGGTGCTTCAGCTCGCTGGGCCCCAGTTTCTCATCCATAAAATGGTCATTATAATAATACTTCCCTCACAGGGTTGTTATGAGAATCAAATTAGTTTTATGTGGAAAGCACTTAGTGCCCCAAAATAGTAACTATTGCTACTACTACTAGTACTACTACTACTACTATTACAGGGGTTTCAGCAGATCACTAAACAAGATGGCAAGGGATTCCTGGTGTCCCTTGCTGCGTCCTTCCCTGCCCATACCCCACAGCAGACAGAGGACACAGCTTAGGAAAAGAAAATTCATGTTCATTAAGTAAGTGCCAGGTGATGAACACAAATAGGGGCTCAGTGATCAGAAGCACACGCTGAGGACCCTGACAACCAGCCCCTCAGTTACTCCTCACAGCAACCCTGGGGGTGGGGAGGCTCACCGGCCAAACGAGGAAACCAAGGCCCAGGGAAGAGTGAACACTGACCTCGGGTCACGCAGTAAATCGGCAGAGACCACGTTTGAATCCAGGGTCACTCCACAGCGGGACACGGAGGGGGTTGACTCTGAGGTGCTGCCTGGAAGCTGTGCACCCAGCCTCCTCCTCCCCCCATTCCGGCCCCAGGGCCTGGCCCAGAGCGCCCCACCCCGCGAGCACCACTCACCAGGCACAGTGGCCAGAAAGGAGTTGAGAAGCACCATCCCTGCGTGGTAGAGCACTGGGCAGATCTGGGAGGTGGGGGCCAGAGTCAGGGTCTTTGAAAGAGAAGTCACCCCCACTGTCCCCAGACCCGCCACTGCTCACACCTGCTGGTTGAGGAGGAAGCGCATCCCTGAGATGATGAGTGTGGAGAGGAATTCGTACACCTTCCTGCGAGGGGAGGGCAGACGTGAGCCCAGGCCCTGTCCCTCTCCCAATCCAGGTCCAGGAAAAATCACAGTGATCGGAGGGCCAGGGCCAGGGGTCGGACACATCAACTCTGACCTGAATTACCAGCTCTTTAATACAGGTTTTCCATGACTCGGGCCCAAATCCCCTCCAGCCTTATTCTCAAGACCTCTCCTACCCTAGCCCCCCACCAGCCAAATGAAGCTAGCCACAGTCCCTCAAACCTGCTCTGAGCATCCCCTCCATGTGGTTACCCATGCCTCCCTTCCACCCTCAATGCCCAGGGTCTGTGTTTCCAGGTCAGGATCAGATGCTTCCTCTTTTAGGCAGTCTTCCCAGACTGGCCTCCTCTGAACCCCCCGAATACTTTCTCAGTCCCTCTCTCAAAGCCCAATGACAAATGTTTTTTCTCCTCCGACTAGGCTCTGAGCTCCTGTCTGAACCCTCAGGTACTGGCATGCGCCTTGCTGAATAAGTAAAATATCGACTGTACCAACATCAGATGACAAATCTACCATCCCCTCTCCTCAGCCCTCTCCTTCTCAGCTCCAAAGTCCCCTTCTCAGCCCCCAACTTGGGCCTATGCTATTATTTTTGTTATAACTAGTAAGAGACACCAGTTATGGAGGACCCGGTTCATGCCCAACTGTACACACTTATCCTCACAGCTACTCTTAGCTAAGTGGTTAGCCACTCAGAATAAGCCAGGTACTATTCTAAACAGTTTTACATATATTAACACAAGTAGGCTCCACAGCATCTTATAAAATAGGTCCTGTTATCATCCTCATATTACCAGTGAGGAAATGGAAGCACAGAGCTTCAGGGACTTGCCCAAAGTCACACAACCAGGAAATGGTGGCACTGAGATTGGGACCCGCTTGGTCTGACCTCCAAGCCTGAGCAATTTGCATTGCACGAGTCAGAGGGGCCGTGGGTCTGAAAGCAGGTGCACTGGGGCTGGGGCTGGGACTCACCTGTAAGTTCCTCCGAAGGCTGCGTACAGTCTGGAGACAGAGGCCTGGCAGGAGACGTTGGACACTTTGAGCCGGCCAGAGGGATCTCGGGAGAGCTGCAGAGAGGTGCGGATGGATACACCCTCCGCGGAGGCATTGATAGAGCCACCATCGTAGCTGCGGGGAGGGGGGGCGGTTAATGTTCGCCAACCCTGGAGCTTAATCAAGCCTTCACTGCCTGCTTCCCATCCCCATACATCGTGATACCTCTTAATAATACCACTTCTGCAGTTTACCAAACCCTATCAAGCCCTGTGAAGTGGGTATGACCCTTCTTATTTTACAGATGGAGAAACTGAGACCCAGAAAGGCTAAGGGGCTTGCCCACAGCCCCGCATCATCCCCAGCCCTCCAGATCCACTCGCCACTCCCTGAGGGTGCCAGGTCCTCACAAGAACCAGTAGAGAAGCTGTCTCTGAAAGTGCAGCGCCAAGGAGGAATTGGTGATCTGGAGCACCAGGTCCTGCTCTGGCTGGAAATGCAGTTCAGATGATGTCAGCTGCAGCGCTGTGACCGTCACCCTGCAGGAGGCCTCAGGGTCAGATTCAGGGCCAAGAGCAGGTCCCACCCAACCACAGGAAATTCAGTCCTTCCTCTTCCAGTCCAGGTCTGAGGAAACTGGGATGGGCAGAACGAGTTATTCCCTCGCTCCTCAAATGCCCGCCCTGGGCTTGCTCGGATGGCTCAAATTGGACTAGGGTGGCTCGGAGATGAGCTTCTCCGGACTCGGGTGTTAAAAGTGAGCTTCACCTCTTCTCTTAGAAGTCTTGTTCTTGCCCTGGCCGGTTTGGCTCAGCGGTTAGAGCGTCCACCTGCGGTCTGGAGAGACCCGGGTTCGGTTCCCGCTATGGGCATGTACCTCGGTTGCAGTTTGTCCCCGGCCCTGGTTGGTCGTGCGGGTGGCAGCCACTCGATGTGTCCCTTTCACATTGATGTTTCCCTCTCTCTCTCTTCCTCTCTCTCCCTCCCACTCTATCTGTACAAAAAATGGAAAAATGTCCTCGGGTGAAGATAAAAAAAAAAAGAAGAAGTCTTGTTCTTGCACTCCCTTCCCTCCCACATCCTGGGGTTGCTAGGCCTGGTCTTTTTTCGGAGCCTTTGATTTTGTTTCCATCACCTAAGATCCGATCCATCATCCACCTGTCGCCACCGTCCTAAAATCACAGGTCTTCTGCTCCCAGGAGCTCTCCCATTATTAACTCCACCCGTGTGCCCTAGACCCCACTCTCATCCATTGGCAAGTTGGGTTTTTTTAAATGTTTTTATTGATTTTTTTAGAGACAGAGAGGAAGGGAGAGACAGAAACATTCAGCTGCCTCTCGCATGCCCTGACCAGGAATTGGGATCTCTCAGTCCATGGGTCGAAGCTCAATCCACTGAGACACAAGGGCCTGGCCATTGGCGTTTCTAGACTCCGCCTCCCTGGTGCTCTTTGGCCACGCCTCAATTCCACTTAGTTGTTCCTGGCCCCGCCCACATCCCTTAGGCCACGCCCGTCGGCTTGACCCCACCTTCGTTGGCAGGATTGGCCTTTATCTTCGCCGCCGCATCCTATTTCTTAAGTCCTGCCTCATCGATCTGACCACGCCCCCACTTTCGAAGACCCGTTGGGGGCACCCCGCTTACTCAGAGATGTTGTAGTAGAAGTGACCCTCTCTGCCTCCCAGATTCGGAATGGTGACAGTCTCCAGCTCTTGCTCCAGAAAGCGCAGCCCCTCCTGCTTCACTGAGGCATGAGCAAGACCCTTAGCTCCTGCTTCTGCTGCTGGGGTGACCCCACCCTCAACCGTCCTCGCCCTCCCCGCGCCTTACCCAGCTCCAGCGCCTGGGAGGTGATGCGGATCTTGCAGCCGGGGATCTCGGCGTGAGCTCCTGCCAGCAGGGCCAAGAAGAGGGCTCCGAAGAGGGCCATGACGAGCGGGCCTGGGGTTTAGGGTGGGGTCGCCAGTCACCCAGCCGCGAAAACCCATTCCTCTGATGTCCAACCGGGAGAGTGGGCTGGCCCTGATCGTTACCCTGGAGATAGCTCTTAGGGGAACTTGGACCAGTAATATTGCCTCCATTTAACAGATGCAGAAAGTGAGGCTCAGAGAGGCGATGCCTCTTGAGCTCTGGCTCCCAGAGGATTTGGGGCACTGGGGAGAGGAAGGGGGCATCCTCAATTCCCTCGAGCAACCTCTCCATGACGAATTTGGACCTCCGGGGGACCAGTCCCCCGCCTCCCCAACAACTTCTCCTTTTCTTTAGCGGAGGGTAGGCGCGGCTTGCAGGTTACCATGGGAACGACTGCAGGCGCATTCTTGGGGGGTGGCTTGCAGTCTCCCAGGCCCCAAGCGGAGGGAGGAGAGGGGCCTTCCGCTCCCCTGGGTCCTAAATCCCTGCCTGGTGATCCCCCCCCCCATCTCAGTGCCCTCCTTCATGGGGTCTCCTCCCCACCCTGGGTTCAGTAGACTACGCTGCTCCGCGAAGGTCTGGGGGTGGATGGGGACGCCCCCAACTCACTGCTGTGAAGCCGGGAAAGAGGGGGGTCGGCGCGGTCACGTGGGGCGGCGGGCAGCTCAGGAGATCCGGGCGGCGGGGTCTGGCGGGCCGCGCTGTTCCAGCCGCCTTTATAAAGCCGGGCCTCTCTGACCCCCCTCCTCTTCCCGCTCTCCCCTCCTCCCTCGGAGGTTGGGAAGGGATGGGGCGGGACGCTGGCAGCCCGGAGGGTGAAGAGGGCAGTATGGAGCCCCGTGACATGCCGGCCTCTGTCAAGACAAGTAGGGGACCCAAGCTGCGTGGAGGGAGGGAAGTGCAGGAGTCAGCCCACCTGGCCCCCACAGCCCCTGCTTCGCTGGGACCTTGGTTCAGATTCTAATTACCCAGCTCTTTCTGCATGATCCTGTGCAAGTCACTTTACTGCGGTCACTGAGTTTCAGTTCCCTCATCTAGCAAAATGTGTGTGATAAAAGGAACTACCTCGAAGGCCTTTATTGCAGCTCAGGGCATGCCCCAAAGTCGATGCCGAAGGCACATTTTTTCCTTTCCTTCCACCCACAATCATCTCAAGAGCTCCTTGCTGGGCACCTATCAGGCTCTGGAACCTCTCCCAGGGGGTCTAAGCAAGCCCACACAGTCTGCTGGAATCACCCCAGAGGGAGGTTTGGCCTTTCCCCAGGAACTGTGGATATTTTTGTCAACCTTTGGAGCTAAGTTCTCTGCACAGTACCCCACCCCCACTCCTGCAGATCTACAGCCTACAGTGTTCCCAACTCCTAGGACAGGGCACAGAGTAGATGCTTGCTACCCTTTTGTTGTCAAACGGATGAAAGAGGAATAAAGAAGCAATAATGACTAATGTCCATTGAATACGTATTAAACAACAATCACTCATGCCCAACTTACCCAGATTTGCTCAGGACTTTCCTGGCTTTGAAACTGATTATCTCCCTTCTTGGGAACTCCCCTCAGTTCCAGGCAAACCAGGGTGGTTGGTCACCCTAGATCTAGATGCACTAATTTAGCCTTCTTAATCTGCGGGGTAGATAAAAGGTCTGAGCCTGCGGTAGATCACATCCACAATCCAGGGCCAGTGTAGACGAAAGTGGCTTTATTGCAAACACCTGGGTGCAGGTGGGCTGAATCCGAAAAGGAAGCCAGCCCACAACAACAGTTGGGGTGTAGGTTATATGCCCTGTTTCTAGCTTCCAGCAGTTCTGCTGACATATTCTGCATGGCCCGTTGCTCACTTTGCAGTTGGACTGGTCTGGTATTACATCCCACATCTGCTGGGTGGTTTCTGGCCTTGCAGACAATCTGTACTTAACAGAAGGCTGAGCAAAGGTCATGCAAGCAATGCATTTTTCTTAATAAATTTTTTTTCATCTTCTTTCTCGCTCTCCTATTTTTTTTTTTTTTTTTTTGGAAGGTAACCAAATTTTTGGTGGCCCTGAATAAAAAAGTTAAATAAAAAATAAATAATTTTTTTCTTTATTGCTTTTATTTATTTATATCCTCACCCGAGGATATTTTTACATTTATATTCAGATAGAGTGGGAGGGAGAGAGAGAGAAACATCGATGTGAGAGGGACCCATCGACTGTTTGGCACCTACACGACCCCTACTGGGGCTGGGGACAAACCGCAACCGAGGTGTACGTGCCCTTGGCCGGAATCAAACCCTGGACTCTTTGGTCTGCAGGCTGACACTCTAATCACTGAGCCAAACCAGCCAGGGCTCTTTATTGCTTTTAGAGAGAGAGGGGAAGTGAGAGGGAAAGAGAGATAGAAACATCGATGAGAGAGAACATCGAGGGGCAGCCTCCTGCAGGCCCCCCACTGGGGATTTGGCCCACAACCTGGGCACGTGCTCTGACTGGGAATCAAGCTGATGACCTCCTGGTACATGGGTCCGACACTCAACCAGTGAGCCACACTGGCCGGGCTTTCACGCATTTTTCACAGTTTCTGCCCTTTACAAGCTTTGGCCTTTGCCCTTTAAAACGTTATCAACCCTTTCATTAGGCACTATTGTGACCCCTCCTCAGCAGGCAATTAGAGGTACAGGCCATCCGGTGGCTGCCATTGGGGAACCCAAGGACTGACTGTTCATGGAAAGGTGGGAAGTGGGTGGTTATAGCCCAGTAGCTAAGTGCTTAGACTCTTGTGTTTGACAGAACAGGGTTCAAATACTAGGTTGTCAATTCTTAGCACCAATTCTTGGACACCTTACTTAAGCAGCTTGAAGCCTTAATTTCCTCACTCTAAAAGAAAAATGATAAGCTTAGTGTAAGAATAAACTAAGTGAGTATAGGGTATGTGCCGGGTACAGTAGTACATGGCACACAACGCCAAATAAATGCTATGGCACAAACCACAAACCACAAGCAAATGAGGCAGAAAGGGTGTAAGAAAATGTGCAAAGGATATTCAGAGGAGGAAGTGCTAAAAAGCCCGTTTGAACTCTAGTAACCCTCGCTCTTCCTGAAGCCTGGCACAAGCAGGAAATCTAGTGGATGTTAGTTTTCTTTTCTCATAAAAATCAATGTAAGCTCCATCTTTGTGTCATTGTTGTCTCTCATAGGGTCTTATCCCTTGCAATTTACTGTCCCCATAGCAGCCCCAGTGAGCTTTAGATGTAGCTACGTAAGCTTGGGCCAGTGGTTTTACCTCTCTGGACCTCTGATTCCCCATCTGGATTGCTTGTGAGGATTAAATGAGTTAACGCATTTAAAGGGCTCAATAAGCACCTAGCATTTAGTAAGGGCTCAAAAAATGTTACCTACGATCATCAGCATTATTAACCGTCATCCACCCGTGGCTTTCCATCACACTGGGAATAAATTCCTGCTTCCTGGCTCTGATTTCCCGGCATGTGATAAGGCCTACCCCGTCTCATCTTGCGCTACTATCACCCTATTTCATTCTGCTCCAGCCACACTGGCCTTTTGGTTCCTTGAACATACAAATTAAATCCTTCTTGCTCAGGGCCTTTGCACTTGCTGTTCCTGCTGCTTGGAATGCTTTTCCATCTGGTCGCCCCACAGCCAGCTCCTTGTCCTTTGGGTCTCAGCTTAAATGGCACTTCACCAGGAAGGTCTTCCCTGCCTACCTAGCAGTCACCCTCCATCACATCAGCTTAGCTTATTTTCTTTATAGATCTTATTATGATTTAATATTGGTTTACTAAGTTACTGGTTAATGGAGACATTGTCCATCTCCAGAGAGCTGGGATCTGATCAGTCATTTATTCCCAGTGTCTGGAACAGTGCCTGGCACAGAGCAGGTATTGAATAAGTATTTGCTGAGTGACTGAACTGGTCTGGAGCCCTCAAAGGGCCCTGGGAGCAGGTGATACCTACACCAGCCTGGGATTCTTTTTCAAGTCCTGCACCTTGCCAGTCTCGGTTCAGCTGACTAAATGCAACCCTGGCCTGGGCTAGGGGACAACAAGGTACGGTCACTGGCCTCGATTCCAGGGACTTGCCTACTTCGCCTGCCTCTCTCCCTCACATGAGTTTCTCCTTTCTCCCAAAACTTGGCTTGAGGGAGGGAGAGGTCAGAATCCCCAGATCCCGTTGCACTTTGCACTCCTGGCTTTGACGAGGGAAGGGAGACTCCCAACACTCAAAGGGACCGGAAAAAGGCTTTTCTAGCCTCTGCTGTGCACCCAGCACAGGGATATCGCAAAACAAACAAACGAACAAAAACAGGAGAGCAAAACAGCGAGGTGCTTTGGAATCAGACAGACCTGGTTCAGGTCCAGCTTCTGCCACTTCCTAGAGCAGCGGTCAGCAAGCGCTCCCTGTAAGGGGCCAGACAGCACGCGTTCTAGGTTTTGCAGGCCCTGCGGTCTCTGTCACAGCGGCTCAACTCTGCCTTTGGAGCACGGAGCAGCTATGAACAAAGTTTAAACAGGCTGCTCACGGGATTCGGCCCACTTTCTAGAGTACATTAAAAAGTAAATCCCCTGCCCTGGCCGGTTTGGCTCAGCGGTTAGAGCGTCGGCCCGTGGACCGGAGAGTCCCGGGTTCGGTTCCCGCTGAGGGCATGTACCTTGGTTGTGGTTTGTCCCCGGCCCCGGTTGGGGTCGTGCGGGTGGCAGCCAGCCACTCGATGTGTCCCTTTCATGTCGATGTTTCTCTCTCTCTCCTTCCCACTCTATCCGAATAAAAAATGGATAAATGTCCTCGGGTGAGGATAAAAAACAAAACAGGACAAAAAAACAAGTAAATCTGCCCTGGTGGTGTGGTTCAGTTGGCTGGAGCATGTTCTAGTACATTGAAAGTTCATGGGATCAATTCTTGGTCAGGGCACACACCCAGGTTTTGGGTTTGGTCCCCTGTCGGGGTGCATATGGGAAGCATTTTCTCTCTGACATTGATGTTTGTCTCTCTCTTCCTCTCTCTAATATCAATAAACATGTCCTCGGGTGAGGATTAAAACAAAAAAAGAATAAGAATACTTTACATTAAGAAAAAAAGGTAGCCCTGGCCAGTTTGGCTCAGCAGTTGGATCGTCAACCCATGGACCAAAGAGTCTCACGTTCGATTCCAGCCAAGGGCACGTATCTCGGTTGTGATTTGTCCCCAGCACTGGTCGGGGTCGTGCAGGAGGTGACCAGTCAATATGTCCCCGTCATGTGGATGTTTCTCTCTCTCTCCCTTTCTCTCCCTCCCTCCCACTCCATCTGAAGATAAATGGAAAAATATCCTAGGGTGAGGAATTTTTTAAAAAGTAAATCTCTCTCTTTTTTTAAATTCCTCACCCATGGATATTTTTCTATTTATCATTAGATAGAGTGGGAGGGAGGGAGAGAGAGAGACAGAGAGAAACATCAATGTGATAGAGCCACATCGACTGGTTGCCTTCCGTATGACCTGACCAGGGTCGGGGCCAAACCGCAACCAAGGTACGTGCCCTTGACCGGAATCAGCCCGAGACTCAGTGGTCCGAGGGCCAAAATGGCCAGGGTAAAAGTAAATCTCTTTATGCCTTTATGCGCTCCAGGTAAATGGGGATGATCTGGTACCTGCCTACCTCTCCGGGGGGCAGGGAGATTTTAATTTAATTTTTAAGTATATAAAGTGCTGAACCTAGTACTTAGCACATTAAGGGACTCAATACATGTATCTGATTATTACTATTAACTAATTTTTTA